ACGTAGTATATATATATATGTATATATATATATATATATATACATATATATATATATATATATAAATATATATATATATATAAATGTGTGTCTTTGTATGTTTGCGTGGGCGTGGGCGTATGCATATATATTTATGTATTTATATATATATAACCATGTATCTATTGAGAGTATCACCTTTACCACCTTCTAAACCAAGGTATACCCATTCACTTCCATTGTTTGCTCAGGACTACTCCCCCAAGGTATTCCGAAATATCCGAGAGATGTACGGTATCCACACCGACGAGTACATAACCTCATGGACACTGCCTGATGAGAAACTGGTCGCAGAAGAAGGTGCTGGCAGAAGTGGTAGTTTGTTTCTGATTTCAAGCGACAACAAGTACATGCTTAAGACTATCCCCGCAGATGAGGTGTGTGTTATCTCGTGTCTATACATGTCTATCGTTGATTATCCATCTGCATGCATGATAGAAACATAGAATATACCTATTATAATTTTATGCCATCAAGTGGCAATTCGGTTCTGGTTTCGAGTTGAAAGGTATCTCTGTTGCCTAGGTGCGGGAAAATTTGTGAGAATAGGTTGCATACACACGTATTGTACATGTATGTGTATGTGTGTGTATATATATAGAAGAGATTTTGTGTGATTGTTTGTTTCTGATGTCATCCGAACTCTAAAACTCGCACAAGACAACATACGCACAAGACAACATACGGGCTCACGCATTTGCCCGTATTTGCATGCTCAGGTGAACACCCTCATGAGCTGTCTGCACAATTACTACCAACACCTGGTGGACTACAAGACATCGCTGATTATGAAGATCTTTGGAGTTATGCACTTCACCTGCAAAGGCCATGACATGCACGTGATGATATTCACCAATGTCTGCTACTTCCCACACGGAGAGATGTGTGCCACATACGATCTTAAGGGCCGAGTGCCCAAGCCAGGTACGTGTTCTGTAGATTACCGTTGTACGTTTGTTACGTCTTTTGCACAAGTACGTATACGTTATCATGAGTGTGTGTGTGTGATTGGTAGGGTGCCCTGTGTCTGTTGTCTATTTATGATGTACACATGGCGAGATGGGCAACATATCATTAATGCAGGTTAAATCGTCAAGTCTGGCACTTACTATCTGTATAGTAATGTATATAATATACATGCGTATATATGTATATGTTGGATTTCAATATTATTATACTATTTGTAGAGTCAGAGAGACTGAGAGGGTGTATCTATCTTTGATGTAACACAATTTTAAAATATTTTAAAATAATATGCAGAACTTTAGAAGTTCAGCATGTAAATATTTTTTTTGTGGTTTGTTCGTGTATGTATGTTTATGTCATGTTTAGTATATGTTCTGCATAGAAACTACTTTGTACAGGCGTACTTTCTGCGGAGTGCGAGCGTATATTTTATCTGACGGCGCTGCGCCTGCGTGCTGCATGTCATGCACGTGATAGTACATACCAACGTATAGTACTTCCTAATACTTTGCCAAATTCTTAGTTTGATTCATTCTTCTCTATCAGTCTCGTGTGCCTATGACTCTTTGCCTTCAACAGCATATGCAAAGATACCCCGCCATTATATCTGAAAATATTTCACTTTCTACCTACAGGAAAGGCGCTACAGAACACAGCCAAAATAGGAACGTCGTACATCTTCAAAGATAAAGATTTGGATCGTAAATTCTTCGTGCGCCTGGACGAGAAGTCCTCGTTCTTCACCCAACTGAACCGCGATATCGAGTTTTTCCGTCTAAATAATCTGATGGACTATAGGTAATCTCTGAAGAGGAATGGGTTGGTTTCATGCACCACATCAGATCTGGTACAGATGTAGGCGTAGGTACATTACACCGGATGTACCTTGCTTTGATCGGATACATAGAGTGCTGGGTTTACTGGGATGCGATTGAATGGGTTGAAAGCATGCATCGGACGTGTTATGCAGAATATATATATATATATATATATCTATGGCAGGCTGTTATAGCAGTGAAGTATCGTCGTGATATTGATGTGGGAATATCTACTTAGTATTCCATCCGGTCATTTGTTGTTTACTGCAGTTTGCTGATTGGGGTTGCCACCATGCCTGAGGACAATATTGACTATCCGGAGTGGCAATATATCGCTCGCTCGTCACCCAGCAAGGGAGAGGTGTGTTTATATGTATATGACCACGTATCCATGTGCATCTATCACTATATATATATACACATATATATATTTATATATCTGTGTGTCTGCGCGTGTATCTGCGGGTGCCTACGAATGTAAATATATAATAATTATAAATATGTATATATGTATGTATATATATATATATATATATTTATATATGTATATACATATATGTATATATTTATATATATATATTATATATATATATATATATATATATTAAACCCCATACTAAGCTATCACGGCTAATCCGTTTGATACTCATACACCCCGCCAGATTTACTTCATCGGCTTTATCGACTGTCTGACAAATTACGGCATGCGCAAGAAGGCCGCCAACTTCTTCAAGACGGCTCTGTGGACACCCAACACGCTGTCCACCATTGATGCTACGTCGTATGCGGAGCGTATCAAGTACTATCTGTTCGATATCTTCGACGCTACCGGTGATGAGGCGCCTCCCGCACTGACACGGGCTGCCAGGGCTAATACGAATACGGGTTTGGGTGGAGACGATAATATTCTACTGGAGAAGAAGGTATTGGTAGATTATATGATGTGCATGTAGTCACGCACTTTTATATAGCGAAGATGGGCTGTAAGCATCCAGTGGTGTGAGTTTATCGTATTGAGTTTGCGATGCTTATCAGACCGTAGTGGTTCTATGTTCCAAAGCGCCGAGTGTCGAGGCCTGTATCGTCCGGGCGGACCTTCAGATTTGTGTACAAATGTGGAATGGGGAGGTTAGATGGAGAAGCGAGAGTACCACTTTTCCCCCAAGTATTCGCCAAGAAGGTGAAGCAGTTACTGGGGTACTGTACACCGGCCCCTCTCGATGCCCACAATTAATGTCACGAATTGCAGAGGCAGGGTGTGCTTGTCTATATAGATATGTTGTGGCAGTACGTATTTTTCAGTATTGTTTTCTCTTGTTGTATCAAGCAGAATCGTGCGAACCAAGTTTATTCGTATATGCCTGGCCCATCAGATTGGCTGTACACATATCGGTTTCCCACCCATATATATAATCGATCACATTCTCTCATCAATTGTACGGCCCACTCTCCTCCCACAGGTGTCCTTCCTTGAGACGAAGGTCTACAAACTCGAGGAGCAATTACAAGCAGCCTCTACTCTGTTGATGCAGGTCCTGCAAGAGAAGAACATCGACGTACCCGCCGATCTCATCCCCGTTTCAAGCTCCAAAGCTATCATCCAGGTGTCTAGCTTGGTCCCCGACCAATAAGTGGCAAACCGATTGCCCACACTGACTATGCATGCGTCTGTACTTCACGCGTGTGTGTGTGAGTGTCCCTCTGTATAGCTGTACATAGCTAGTGCAGCATTGCGCAGTTGTCAGACGGCGCCCGTGCGGGCTGAAACTATGGTGAGAACGAAGGATGAACAAGTAGGTATGGTGCCTGTCTCTCTCTATCACTCTATACGGTGCATGCTCAAGCGAATTTAATTCTGCAGCACTCGCGCAGATTGTATCGAACGGATACGCATGGGGTGTTTCCGTGGATGGGATGCGCTAGTAGTGCAGGTGTGTGCGCCTAGTAGTCGTGCATGTCTCGAACATGACTGACAGGGGGGGATGAAGAGCCAGAGGTTGGTTGGGTGCAGGTGAGGCACCATAGTCTTATAATATAACATGTTAGGTGAATGCTACATGTATGGTTGCTGCAAATGGTCTTCAGAGTGCCTTCGCACGTTTGTATATGTACCGGGTAAGACTCTAGGAGATTAGGTCCGCCATGCAAAAGTAAACAAACAATTTGAAACTAGTCCCTCGCCTACCGATATATAACAACATTTGTGATCGTATTTTCGAACGGATCGGTGTATGGCTGTGGCTCGGCGTACCGCGGGTACCGATACAAACATACACGGTTGTATCTTGTAGGTGGTTGCTTTACGTTGCTTCCAAGGTATAGAAGCTACACCCGGTCCAGAAAGTGCAGCACAAGGGTACCTGCTGGTTTTCACAGTGAGCGTCATATGCGGGATAGTATTCGCGATCCGAGGATGATAGTTACCATTCTGCGAATAGTCTCGCAATAGGCGTAAACAAGTGCACGAGTTTGGCGTAAATAGTATCGTAAATATGGCGTGTATAGGTTCTCCACTATCAAATCCTACCTTACAACTGCCATTCTCGTGAAGGATGGCGAACTAGACTTACTTTCAAGCATTGGCTCGACCACTTTGCCCGTGCAGAAGATTCACTTTTCGCACACTATATATATATATATATATATAATATATATATATATATATATGTATGTATGTATGTATCATATATATATATATATATATATAGTATATATATATATATAATAATATATATACTATATTATATATATATTATA